GTTTTCGTGGTTTTTCCCATGCGTAACGTGTATACGAGCCAGTTTCCCTTAGAAAGCCCTCCCTGAAGCATCCCTCCCCTTAAGCCCCTTAGAAAGTACAAGGGCATCCTAGGCAGATAGCCCTAGTGTGCTTTGCCATAATTAAATACAACACACCACACCATGTCTTAAATGTAAGTGCAAATGTAATTGATAATTATGTGTGATCAATACTTGCAGTGAGGGGGGGGGAGGATTTTTTCGTCCAGTATATTACGCTCATTTAATAAAACTGTGAAATGCTTAAGTTAGTCTAGGATTTAAATTTTGTTTCTCAGTAAATTAAATATCTAAATTTGTATTTGTTTATTTTTCTTCACATTATTTAAATATAAATAAATTTCCCTTAGAAAATACTACATGAAGGCAATAGACAGACAATTGTATATTGTTACGGATTTTGTATTTAGTTAGCTATTTTTGGTAGAACTGTAATTAAAATTGTTTTATTTCCTCGTATAATGCAGCGCGCGACGAGCTTTAAGAGAAAGCTACACCGAAAAAGTAAAAATATAGGAGATGGCGCATTTAATAAATAGATATCTCGTAATTTATATTCAAATTGAAATAATGCAATTAAGAGTTAGCTGTAACTGTCATTCTAATCTTCTGCTTTCCAGAAACCTCGAGAAATTACGAGAAGGTTCTCGTGACTCATTAAAAAGCTTATAAAAGCCGGAGAAAAACATCTCAGTTCACTCTGTGTTTTGGATTGCATTCTAAATTGCATTTTAAAATATAACTACAGTGCGATATAGTGATATTGTACAAATATATCTGAGGAAAAATTTCAGTATTATGTTTCTTTTTTACTTCCTTGTACGAAGTCAAAAGGAAGTATTGTAATCGAGAAAAGTTTCAGGCAACATATTTCAACGAAAGTATCCATTTTGACTGCTATCGAATGCAATTTAACGATGTTTTTGCGTGTTATCTGTATGTAAGGACAGAATACAAGGTACAAGACTATTTTATAATAGTAACTCAAAAACATAACTCAAATCTCGCATAACTCAAAAACGAGTAGACTCGGAACGTTGAAATTTTGTATATAGGACTGCTATAACATGTAGATGTGCACCTCGTATTTTGCTTGCAATCTGCCGCATCAAACGTATATATCAATATATTTATATATATATCCACTCTGTTACCCGACTCAGTGATCTCAGTTTCTTTACTCTTATATGTTTGTAAATTGTACATTTTTTGCTTTAAAAATGATTGAATTATGTTGTTTTTATCTTCCCGTTAAAGATTTTATGCCTTTAGTAAATCTGTGTTCAATATTTTTAGAATTATCAGCAATTTTAAAGTTGTTTAATTGCCGCTAAGCCTGTTTTTAATGGCGTTCATTGATGCTTACATTTGAAACAGGAGACTAGTGGATTTGTTGCCAATCTAGAGAAACTTAGCTTCAACAACAAAGATAACGCCTTCATTTATTATTGCCAATTAAATCATGCTTAATTCTTTCTGGAATTTTTTCGAGGAAATAAGTGTTTAAGATTTCTTCGTAATTTTTAATATAGATATTTTGAGTTTTTATGTATTTTTGCCTTCTCGCGAAGTGAGAACTGAATTAATTAAATGAGAAATACTCAATCGTCTGTGAAAAACGGTTTCTTTTTTGTTTTGTTTCCTTAATTTCTTTTATACATCATTCTAGCTTTATTACAGTATTTGAATAGAACAGGTGGCAACGATTCGATAATTCTATTCTTTAAATGATATAAATTTTGTGCATTGTGAGTTATAATAGGAACGAAATATAATACTGTTAAGTGAACTTAGCGCCAGACTGTCGCTATGGTAAACAAATAGAGTGAATTTTAAAGAATGCTTTTATTCTATTGTGGTTTATGCGCTGTCGGCGAAGTAGATTTAATTCAATCCAATAAGTTTAAATGAAATGCAAGAAAAAATGCGTATAATTTAATATTCCGTACAAGGAAGTCATGTGGTGTACACATCAGATTTTTTTTCTTGTGATAAGAATAAATTTTTTTAACTTTTTATCATTTATTTATTACTTGTGCATTCAGTTTATTACGAATCCGTACGCAGGCACCAATATTTTTCCAGAAATATAAACATCACACAATAAAAAGGCAACAAAAAGCAAAAATTCAATAAATATTTTTATTAATCAAGGACATAAAGGTATAAATATACAAACATTGTAGACATGATGCAATAAATTAAGGGATATAAAATATAAACCACAGATTTTTTTAAAAAATAAGAGAAATCAAACTGCTACCGTAATTCGAGTGACACCCGTTTTCAATTAAACACTTAAAACACGTTACATAAATATTCATCTACCAGCGATGAATACAAAAAGAGATGGAAATTCAACAGCTACGCATACAATAAAAGAAAAGCAACGAAACAGTCCTAGTAAAAATAAATTTAATTTTTTATTATATTTTATAACTAATATTAAAATTTACCGATAAACTGTTGAATGAAATGCGTGACAGCAAAGACGCTTTAAAAAGGAGTTTCTTGCCCTAAATTATTTCATGTGTAAAATTATAAATAAATAATTATTTAATATAGTTTTGACAAAAAAAACTTCAAATTTCTAATATTTTACTTGCTTGTTATTAGTTTCTGTATTTTTATCATACAATTATTGTAATATTAATATAGTATTGATAAAATCTAGGGAAATTTGAATTAAATTATTCTAGGATGATTTCTGTTTATTTCTTAATTAATATAATGACACGAAAGAAAATTGGCACAAGTATACGATAAAAAATAGACGTAATTGCTTTGTTAAAATAAAAAAATTATCTAAGAATACTTACTAATAAAACATTCGAAAATTTTATAAATAAAAGTATTTGTACTCTAGCTATTGCAGTTGATAAAAAAATATTACATAATTAAAAGATTAATTATCAAGTTTAGAGAATCACATTTATAAAGCCTTTTTTTTTAAAGTAATTGCACATCTCAGTTTTCTCTTTACAGATACTTTTCAAGCTATATAAGCTTTTAGCCTGCTAAAGTGCAAAAGGCTAATTCGAAGGACATTAAATTAATGTAGCTCTTAAATTTAGAAATCTTTTTAACAATGTTAACAGCATTTGCTTTCATTATCTTCGACAAGAAGCATTTTTCCCTCACAATGTTGGCATCTTGATAATTTATTTTCCCATCTTAAAGTTAAATATTATGACAAAATTCCAACGATCTACTCACACTAAGTAATGTTAAGGAATCAAGTATTCAGACATCAATGTAGGTCTTTATTGATTTTTATTTCTTCAATAACAATTTAGTGGTGACTATTAATAATTCAGCATCTCTCATCACTGAAATATTGAACAACTAAATGTTAGAGAATTTTCATTAAAAACAAAACAAATTATATTTATTTTACAACAATTTTAAATTACTATTTTAAATTATAGAATTTTTATGTTAATATATAGAAAAGATTTAATCCTACCGAAACTTCAAAATTAAGACTCTTGAAAAGTATATCTCTAAACATGATAATTTATAAAATTTAGCTTCCTGACTTTATTTCGTAGCTTTATTCGTTAAAATAAAGAACCTTATTTTTTTAGATATATATAATACTCGGTTATGGCAACCACAAACAGAGTTAGTAATTTAAAGATATTGCCTTATCTTGTTCTCTAATTGTTCGACTGCAGGCCAGAAAAAATGACAAAAATATAAAAATTCCATTTGGTCAATAGAACCATACCAAAATAAAAACACCTGAGTAATTCCGATTCCATCTATTAAACATGTTCAATTAAATAAATTAAATAATGAACTTATTAGTCACGCTTTTAGTTCTGAAAAATGACATAATTCGTTTTTGTTTGAATATATACTGAAACATTTTTAGAAAGGTCGGTAAACAAAAAACATAATCAAAGTATATAATGAATTACGATTATTAACAATAAACATGTATTTTAATTTGTACAAGTCACTGTTTTAATTATTACATTATTTCATACTAACATTAATAATAGTAAATAAATAAAATGAAAAAATATCGGTTATTGTAATAAAGTATAAAAATTTCCTGTACGTAAAAAAGAAATATTCAACACTTCAAGTATTTAAAAAAATGGTTGATAAAAAAAGAACATTATGAATTATGATATTAACAATAATCGTGTATTTTAATTTTTACGAATCACTGTTTTAATTATTTTATTATTTCATACTAACATTAGCAGTAGCTTAATAAATAAAAAAGTATCAATTCATTGCAATATATTATAAAAATTTACTAAACGTAAAAGAAACATTCAACACTTCAGGTATTTTGAAAAATAGTTGGTAAATAAAGTATATAATAAATTGTGATTATTATCAAAAATCATATATTTTAATTTTTAAAAATCATTGTTTTATTGTTACATTATTTCATAGTCACATTAATAATAGATAAATAAAGTTTAAAAAATCAGTTATTGTATAAATTATAAAAATTTTCTGAATGTAAAAAAAAAAAAAAAAAAAAAAAAAAAAAAAAAAAAAAAAATTCAACACCTGAAGTATTTTTTTAACATGGTCAGAAACCAAAGACCATAATCACAGCACATAATAAATTGTTATTATTAACAATAACTGTATATTTTAATTTTTACCAATGATTGCTTTAATTGTTATTTTATTTCATACTAACATTAATGATAGCTTAATAAATACAAAAATATGAATTATCGTAATCAATTTTAAAAATTTACTGAACATAAAAGAAATATTCAACACTTCAAGTAATACTTTGAAAAAATGGTCGGTACACAAAAAACATAATAAATTATGATTATAAAAAATAATCATATTTTAATTTTTACAAATAATTGTTTTAAATTGTTATATTATTTCAAATAGCATTAATAATAATAATATATACAAAATGAATAATAAATATTGGTTATAGTAATAAATTATAAAATTTGGAGAAAGAAAGAAAGTAGAAAAGAAATATTCAACACCTTCAGGTATTTTTTAGATTAAAATATTCACTTAAAAATCAGTAAATCGTTTATAATTATCAATCGTTACAGAGCAAACTCAAATTCTTTTTACATAATAAAGGTTTACAAATCTCTCAAATTTGTTTTTTAAAATTATTACAGGAAGCAAAATCCTTAAGTATTCCTACATAACTTTATGGATTCAGCAAATACATAATTTTATGATTTAGCAAATACATAACTTTATTAATTTTATGAATTTAGAAAGTATATTCACTGAACAAAAACTCACAATTCCTTCTGCTAAAGTCTGAACCAAGGAGAAGTACTCTTCTCTGTAAGTTTTCCACAATTTTGGATATATTTCAGCTATTTTTCTTTTCTTTCCAAACGAACAATATATATGCAGATGACATATTCCAAGAAAATTTTCTGTCAAACAGTCTTTTTTAAAAAATAAATTATAAAGAATTTAATTTTATATCGCTGACATGCAGTTCTGTCAAAGCGTTTTCATCAGTAACACTGAAATATCAAAAACATACCTCAACTTTGCAAATAATCAAAAACAGATGAAAACTATAAAAGTTCAGTCCCTTTTGCAATGCAGTACGAAACACAGTAGAGCAAAAAACTCTACTCTGCTTCATTACAGTACATTGTAATTGATCGAAAGATCTAGAATCGAGAAACATTTCACTTTAGATATGGACACTTACACAATCCCAACAGCACTACAATTAAAAACAAATGTTCATAAATAGTTCGCTTTCGAGGATATTTTAAAATCTAAAGACCATCAATTAGAAGTTCACTTCTCAGTACTAAAATTTTAACTACAATCACAGTGAGTGGATGGACAGTAACCTCTGGCACAATTAGAATCGCACCATCCAGCCATTCCAGATATGGATGCCCAGACGCCTACAGCCCTGCAGCGACTTCCACCACTGGCACCATCACCCTCTGTCTCGATATTTGTTGTCTTCTTAGGTGAAACTTTAGCTTTATACGTTGGTCTTGGTTTCTTAGTAATATTCTTATTGTAAAAAGGCCTGTGAGACAAAGGTCTGGCAGTGTAGATGGGTCGGTAGGTAGTGGCTCTTGTAACTGGAATAGGTCTCCTAGTAGTTCTTGTCACTGGAACTGGTCTCCTAGTAGTGTACCTCCTGTTTGGTACATTGTAATAGGAAACCGGTCTACTAGGTCTAGGTCTCCTGGTGATAGGCTTTCGAGTTGTGGTGGTTACTCGCCGATTTTGGTAATAAGGTCTGCGAGAAGCAGGTCTATTCTGAGGTCTTGTTGGTCTTGGTCTATAACGGGGTTTCTCGGTTGCCCTTCTTGTTGGGATAGCAGAAATGGACGGCTTGTCATCGGGTCTTTCATACGATGGCTTGTCAATAGGTCTTTCGTATGATGGTTTCTTATCGTATGGTATAGCATTACTTTCAGAATCATCGATGGCAATGTCTGCACAACCTCTGAAGGTTTCCTGTGGACCACAACCAACTTTGGATGTTCCGTTGTCACATCTACCCCAGTTGTTCCCTGAGTAAATAAGAAATTACAATATAATGAAATTATGTAAAAAAAGATATATTTTAAGATACATATAACACAACGAACTTGAAGCTTACACCTGTCTTTACAGAGATATGCGAATGCAGATCACATAAATTATTTTGCAAATTATACTTTCGTAGTACTAAATAAAGCATTTTTTGGAGGAAGGTTTAGAAATAAATTGCTTTAATATCCTTTTATTTTCTTTTTGAAACCATTTTAAGGAAAATTGAAATTACATAGCTAATTTAGCTTAAAAACGTAAAATTTAGCTTGACAAATTCATAATAAGGATACTCTATACACTCCGATGTAGCCATTATATGATCAATCTCAACCCACCTTTTTATTTTTCTCCTCTTTTCCTTCCTCTTACTTGTTGAATAAAATTATTGTGTTCTTTGTATTTCTCTATTTCAATTCGCATAAAATAAATTATACCGATAACCTTGGTGAAACTTATTTTTAATGGTTTTAATTACAAACCACTTGTTTGCAAAGAGGTTTTCAGAAAGTATCAACATAAGTAACATAGAATGCATAAAATATTAATTTTCCCAATTTTAACAGTTAATGAATTTTTTCTAGGTAATTCATTAAAATCTTTTTTAAACAGAGTTTTTCAATTAGCCTCATCAATTATCTTCAGGCAGCTTCGTTCTTAAGTGAATACTAGGGCACTTACGTTTAGTACTTTTTTTTTAAATTATCCTGAGAACAAGTTATTATCTGATTAAACTTACTATTACCGATGGCACGATTTTTAACATTTTCAGTATTGACTAAATTAAAGGAACCAAAGGTAAACGTTTGGCCTCTCGAACCGCTCAAGTCATCATTTATAATAATATATAATAAAACTGAAAGAACTGTTAGATTATAATCACAAAACTATATGCTTTAAATGTGTTAAATAAAAAAACGATTAATGGTAAACGCACATATAAAGTACAATGAAAACTTTTGAAGATGAAACGTGTCCCAATGGCCCATCAGTGGCCAGTTGGTAAAACAGCTGAACACAGGATAATTCCACCAACGTTTCAAATCCCGGCGAATGAAAGAATTACAAGGGAATTTTCGTGTTTGCTCTACATGTAATATTGATAGAAACCAGTTTTCATTAAAAGTCCACTATTAACACATTGCATTTTTTAAAGCAGTAATCGCGAACTTTTTTAGCTCGACATGTCAAAATTCGGAAAAACGCCAGCTTAACTCTGGTGCTGTGTCACATACAGTGGATGGACAAAAATATGGAAACACCTTGTGAAATGCATGTTTGAAAAGAAAGATTGATTTTAATGAAATATGTAGGTGGCGCTGGCGTTTTTGACTACTGACGCCACCTATACAACTTCGTAAATGTGCTAAAAAGTTCAGTTGTTGTCGGAGTACTGTTATGTGAGGTTGTCATTGCATTGTGTCAGAGTTAACAGACTTCGAACGTGGGCAAATTGTTGGAGCACGTATGGTAGGTGCTTCCGTAAGCAAGGTAGCCGAGGTGTTTAGTGTTTCAAGAGGTACTGTATCGAAGATTTATTCAGCATATTTGAAAAGCGGAAAAACATCATCTGCTAAATCACAGCGCGGACGAAAGTGTGTCCTGAGTGATCGTGACAGACGATCATTAAGGGCAATTGTGACGAAAAATAAGAAGACCACAGCTGCAAAAGTTACTGCTGAAATGAATGTTGTGTTACCGAACCCTGTAAGTACCAAAACAATTAGAAGGGAGCTTCATAAACAGGGTGTTGGTGTTGGTGTATTTAATTATGGCAAAGCACACGAGGGCTATCTGCCTAAAGGGAGGGATGCCTTTCGTGGAGGACTTTCTAAGGGAAACTGGCTCGTATACACGTTACACATGGGGAAAACCACGAAAACGCCCATGCAGCCAGCCCGTTCGCGGGATTCGAACCTCAGACCGAACTACCAGTGTTCAGCGCCTTTACCGCTCGGCCGCTGGTGGGCCTTTCATAAACAGGGAATTGCTGGCCGTGCTGCAATTGAGAAGCCACTCATCAGTGATGCTAATGCCCGTAACAGGAAAAGGTGGTGTTTAAGTCATAAAGGCCTGGACTATAGAGCAGTGGAAGCGAGTAATATGGTCTGACGAGTCTTCTTTCACATTGTTTCCCACTTCTGGCCGAGTTTACGTCTGCAGAACGCCATCTCAAGCCTATAATACAAACTGCTTGTTGCCAAGAGTGAAACATGGCGGGGGTTCTGTTATGGTTTGGGCAGCCATATCGTGGTTCTCTGCTAGCCCCATGATAGCTGTGTCAGGGCACATGACTGCCAAGACTTATGTGAACATTTTGGCTGATCAAGTTCATCCCATGGTACAAACTTTGTTCCCCGATGGTGATGGTGTCTTCCAAGACGACAAAGCCCCTGTTCACACAGCTCACATTGTCCAGGACTGGTTTTCTGAGCACGAGGATGAGTTGCCCCATCTCCCCTGGCCACCACAGTCACCAGACCTGAATATTATCGAACCTTTGTGGTCTACATTGGAATGGAAAGTGTGTTCTCGTTATCCACCGACAACAACAGTAGAGAAAGATACGTCTGCCCTTGGCAACAGGCTTGAGCAGCTTGCAGGTGAGAGTGCGATTTAGCCCAGTGCCGCTCCAATTTTGATGGAGAGCCCCCCGCGGGGACGGGTCCGAGGGTCTTCCATCCCTTTTCCCTTCCAACAAACCACACAAGAGAACTTTTGGCTATCCGCATACTTAGAGTGCCGTCATGTTGCACCGACACTATACATTTACAAACATCCATGCCTTCTCCGGGATTCGAAACCGGACCCTTCAGCATGGCAGTCAGCCATGCCACTAAAAGTCAGCCGTGCCACTATAAGTCAGCCATGCCTAACTACTATATGGGTTGAGCGACGTGTCACATATAGACCCTTTCGTTTGCTAAGAATGCCGAGGTAAGCGCAGCACATGTTGACAATGACGAGGCCGTTGCAAAAGATAAATATTTTCGTAGTCTGCAACCTTTTGTTTCCGTCGACGACTCTAGATATGCGCGACGCGTGTCATCCAAAATGAGTTCACGTGTCTCTTTTGGCCCATGTGTCATAGGTTTGCCATCACTTGCGTGACTCAGATAGACTTGCGTGCTTTGCCATAAAATAAATAATCTAATCAATGGGCCAGATGATTTTTGTGAATGGGATTGTCTTAGAAAAAACAAGTTTAATACAGCTACTAACTGAGGTTTTCGGAAGAACTGATCAGTTTCGGAGACAGTAGTCTGACGATAATAGTGTTTACTGTACTGTAATCATTTTCAGAGACAAAAGATTCCCTTACCTGCGGTATAAGTCCATTGGAACACACATTGGGTACACGTGAGGCGATCGGGAAGTCTAAGCTGCACACTGAATGGCCCAGTCCCTGGTCCTGGATAGTATTTTGTACCAGACCCATCTGCTAGTTCCAGAGGATATTGATCCAAACAGCTCTGTGTAGCTACAGTTGAAGGACTGTTGTGAGGACACAGTTTAAATTCGAAGAAACCTCTATGGTTGGCTGTTATGTCAACTGTCGATTTGAAAACCTGAGAACAAATGATAAAATTTCTCATCAGAATTATAGAAAACTCAGAAATCCCAACTTAAACAGGAATTACAATAATTCCTTCAGTTAATAATTAGTATCTGTTACTTTAAAACAGGCACTTTTACGATCGTAATATGTGTAATCATTATCACATAGTGGAATTAGTGAATTTTAGAAAATTAAACGAATCGATATTTATACCACAGCAGTCGTTGCCACGTTTATGAGTTCAAGATTTGGGGGGGGGGAAGGATAACTTGAAGTGCCAATTCTAAAGTAACAGACCATGGTAATTATAGCATTTGATAATTATATTAAAAGTACATTTCATTTAAATTAAGAAATATTTTATTTCACAAATGTTAGCCTATATGTCATTATTACAAAGAAATAAAGCACAAATTAATTTCAGCTAACAGATTTCCAGGAAATAATCCTATCATGGTACAAGCACTGGCATCACTGGTTAAATGCCACAAGAGGCGTACCTTTCTTTTAAAAAAGTTCATGGAAGAATCATGGCATGTGCGTGAAACTTGCAATAAAATATTTTTCTATTAGAAGACGTTAGCTTACATATTATACAACAAAAATATACATTGAAATCATATGGAACAGCACAGTACGTGCGCGAATTGTTGCTGGGCAAGCTATAAAACGGTGTTAGAGCTTCTTTCGGCCATTAGACATTATGTCGCACTTTAAGCAACGGCGTTCCAGCATCTTCTGTGATCAGAAACAGATCCATGGAACTTATTTGCCAAGATGGTAAGAAACTTATATTTCTTATCTTAAGTTCATAATACTTTCTCTTATAATATTCTACAGGATCAATGTTTTCACACTATGTAAAACGGCGTGGCAATAGATACAGTGTCTCAAAAAAGTGATGGGACACTTGTGCTTTACAAAAGGAAACTGCAATAAAATAAATTTAAAAAACATGTAAAATTTTTTGTGGGTGTGTTTCATACTTAAATTTAGTAACAATTATTACATAACATACATTTTCTCAAAATATTAAAATATTAACTCAATAAAAATGCAATTGTTTAGAACGGAGCAGAAAATGGCTCACTTAAGTGATGGGACACTTACTTTTCCATCAAATATTTATCCAAAAATTTTACTTTTTTAAAAGGTTTTAATATTTTGTTGGATTTTTCTTTTACTTTTAAAAACATGATTTAATCTTCTTAGTGTGGATTCGACTAATTTTTTTGTGATTTCTGGAGTGATTTTACCCCATTCTTCTTGAAGCACCGATTTAATAATTTAATTGTTTTTTGAAGAAATGGGGTGTTTGCGAATTCTTGATTCCAATTCTTCTTGCCAAATATTCTCTATGAGATTTAAGTCGGAGATTGTGGGCGTGTTTTTATTATTTCAGGACAGTTATACAGCAGTCCAGAGTCTAACGTTCAAAGCATTGTGCTTGGGGTCATTGTCCTGGTAGAATTTAAAATCGTTATGAAGGTTCAATTTTCGGGCTGAAGATTTCAAATTTTGATTTAAAATCTCAATATACTTGTACTGATCCATTATACTGTCAATAAAAACATTATTACCAATTCCAGCGGACGACATACACCCCCTACCATAACTCTCCTCCTCCACCATGTTTTTACTGTTGGCACCAAGTTCTGTTTGCGAAATTCTTCCCTGGGTTTTCTCCACACCAAGATTCTACCGTCAGAACCAAATATATTAAATTTACTCTCATCAGCAAATATAACTTCATTCCAGTAATCAGAATTCCTTATTTATGTTGGATTTTGCGAAAGCCAGTCTGAGTTTTCTATTCTTTTCACTTAAGAAGAATTTTTTCCTGGCTGCTCTACCGTGATATCCAGCAGATATCTAATTACTCTTATAATAGTCTCAGAATTAACAATTACTCCATATAATGCTTGTAAATCAGACAGCAACTTTAGGAGCACTCATTCTTGGATTTTTTTTTTAAATATTTCCAACGATAATTCGCTTTATTCCATTTGGATAGCTTTGATGGTCGGCCAGGTCTTCTGTTATCCTGAATCATATGATTCTTTTTATATCGTTTAATGATATTGAAAACTGTTGAATGACTGAAGTTAACTGTTTCAGTAGTTTCTCTAATAGATTTTTCCACGTTCAATATGCAAATTAATAACTAATTTTCGAATTTAGGCAAAGTTTCTTTTCGTTTAGCATTCATGGCTGCACAGAGCTAAAAAACCACAAAATTCCAAAACAAACTGGAGAGAAATACTGCAGACGATTTTATAAATTATTGGCATTGCTTTTGAGTAAAAATAAATACCCCAAAAGATATATTTTATTGCTTACTTTTCAGACGATTTGTGTTGCATAGTACGTAGTGTCCCATCACTTAAGTGAGCCATTTTCTTCCGTTCTAAACAATTGTATTTTTATTAAATTAATATTTTAATATTTTGAGAAAATGTATGTTATGTATAATTGTTATAAATTTAGTATGAAAACACCCCACAAAAATTTTAAATGTTTTTAAATTTATTTTATTGCAGTTTCCTTTTGCAAAGCGCAAGTGTCCCATCACTTTTTTGAGACACTGTACCAACAAAGACATACCACCAACGTTTTGAAGAAATGCCAAGAGCAAAGAAGCAAGCGTGTATGTTACGATAGATGTTGTAACCGAAGATGGCTTTGTGGTATAGGATGGCGCGTATCGTACTGCCATCTTAAGGTGTCAGCCTAACCAGGTATAAGCACGTATTGGTAAACCTAGTATAGAAACTAGTATAGTATAGGTAAAATTTGTGTAAAAAATAGTACAGTACAGGTAAACCTCGGCGCGATTTGTTGCTGGGCAAGCCTTCATTCAAGCATGCCTTGCGACAGAAGCTGAGTATTGGAACTCAGTGATAAAAATTGCAACAACTGTCGGTAAGACAACTGTAGATACAATTGTTTTCCAATTGAACGAAGCAAAGGCAAACACAAGTAAGGCTGTATGCCCGATTCAGCTGATTTCCCGCTTTAGAGAGATGAGATGCCCTGCGCCCTTCATAGATTTCGCAGCTCCAGACTGCTGCAGAATTATCTGAAGAAGAAAGCCTTTGCTGCTGAAGAAGAAACCATAAAAGATGTGTGAAAATTTCTTTCCAGTTAATGCATCAGCTCCAGTAGCAAATATATTTTTTTTAACTATGAATAAATAACCTTTGGTTTCTATGACGTGGCCTTACAAGTGTCAACAGCAAAAGCACTTTTAAACTTAAAAATGAATTCGAAATAGCCCTGTTGTAAATTTTATGAATGTATAATAAACAACGAAGAGTTTCCAAAGGAAATATTTTCTAATGATAAATACACAGTAGAACAGGAAAATGAACATTCCCCGCCAACGCCATTTACAGTACACATGCTGGAAAAGATATGCTGTCAGCCTTTCAATATGGTTTACCAACTTTCATATTCATTGAGATTTGAATAAAAATATTTTGAAAAAATAATATAATATATATATATAGCTAGTTTATATATAAAAACATAAAAAATCATGTGATAAAAAATAAATATAGATAAATATATTTGCATAAAATATATATACTGAGATTTCACATGATTGAAATAAATTTTTTATAAAATGCCCTGAAGATGGATATTCGCAGAGAATTTTCAGGCGGTGGCGAGGGCAGCTTGGTGGAAAATAATTATATCAATAAATTTTTATTTAACCTTTTTTTTTTTTTTTTTTTTTTTTTGTTTTTAAATTTTGGAGCTTGCGAGTTGGTTAGAGAATATAGTATTGTACCAATATAAAAACAATTTTTTTTTCTCGCTTGAATTAGCACACCTGCCCCCTCCCCCCCGCATATGCCCATGGTCTTGGTTTCTCGTTCCTGAGATGTGGTACCATAATGGTACCTGTAATATATCACACGTGATATTGTATTATACGATTAGACTACAATTCATTACATTACACATTGCTTTAAATATCACATGAAATATTATCCTACAGGCGAACGCGATAAATTATTGCTCTAATCATCACTGACGGCAATATTTTCAAGATAAGAAAAATATTGCCAATTTTCCAATCTTATATACACTCTTAAATTGTTTCGCCCGGAAGTCAGCAAATATAATTACCATCCAAAGAGCCGACAGTTTAATAAATATCCTTTCAGTAAGTTTTATCTCGCCCTGCACAGTCCGTTGCCGATGCGTGACTTATGAACCAGGGAGTGTGCAGGTCACGGATTCAGAGATGCGTATCTTGATCGATGGAAGGGTTGTTGACTGGATGCCACTTATAACATCAACTGATCGAACTGGGTTCCCTAAGCAACTTAATCTCACACTTACCCATTTATTCCATTAACCTATTGGCCTAAAAGTGAGAAATCGTGTTGGTCACAAACTCAACCAATTCAGTACGCTTTACCCGCCCCCCCCAACATAATGCGCTTAGATTGCTTTATTTAATCGAAAAGAAAAAAACACTTGTTTCATTCATGTACGTTGTTTACGTAAAGTATAGGTTAAAGTTTAATTGACACAACACAGAGGCCGAATTATAGTAAAAATGAAAGGATTACCAATTAAAAATAATCGAACATTTACATAACACAAGGCAGCAAGATTGAATGTGTCGCTGACAAGAGCACCATGCAGATGACAGTACGACTTCGTTCAGTTCCGTACCCCACCCCCATTGTGATGCAGATTCGAGGGTCACTCGCAACTCTTCCCTTACCATCAACCTCTCGAGAGGACGTTCGACTCGCCATATATTTAGGGTGCCTCCATACCGGAAAGACACTATACACACAAAAACATCCATGCCTTCTATGGGATTCGAACCTAGGCCCCTTCGGTACCGCAGTAGGCTCCCCTAACCACTATACCGTCTGTACATATAAGATGTAGATGAACAAGACCAAAGTAAGTGTACAGGATGTGAGGATTTTATCATTAGCATCGGATAAATGTATCACATAAGAATAATCCAGTACCTGTTATGAG